CCCAGGACTTTTGTCATCTCAGACAAATGATATTAAACTTTCTTTGATACGTGATGACGTCCACAATGTTAACCCTTTCCACGTTATATATCTTAAATGAACTTGTCCATTTTTTAACCTGAACTTAACCATTCATTATTATATGGGGAAAATATTTCAAGACTGCATAACGAACAGTGCAGTCCATCATCAGATTGTGCGGACGTGTCGACATATTGTTGGTCTGCACTAGCCACATGGGTCTATTCAGATGCTGACGCCTTGCCCATTTCATAACTGTATTTTTGTTGTTGTGTGTTAACAGAGGTTAAGAGAGGTCAAAACGTTCTGTTTCATTATCTTGTACCAGTAGTTGGATTTTAAATCAAAATGGTCATCAAATTTGAAATTAAAATTCGTTTATTGTTATAAAACGCTAATCTGATCAACCATTTACACACTGAATGTTAGTTAGCAAATAATCTAACAATTGTATTTCTTTTCACTCCAAACTTTCATGATTGTATTTACTTTTCGGCCTTTTTAAAAGGGGCTTAAGATGGATCTTTGATTTACATGTGAAAGATTTATTATGATGTAGGAAGACACTTCATTTGTACTGGTCAACTTTATTTTATCTTATTTTAGACCTCAAGCGAAATTATAGAAAAGATGTCCATTGTCAACGTTCTTTCTCAAATAGAAGATTTTGTTTAATTTGACATATAAAAAGATTTTATGAAAAGGAGTTCATAAGGTTAAATGTTGGCCCCTTTTTAGCATGACTAATTGAAGTGACAGCATGTGATCTCCCACGGCGAGACATTCTAATTAACATCATGCCTTTGACTCTTCATAACCCCCTCTCTTCAAATCACGTGATTGTTCGTGGTCAATAGATACACGAGGGTTTTTTACGCCTTATTAGGGATAGCATAGTTCTTTGCTATTCAAGAGTGTCAGCCACGGGCATTTTAACTGGGTAAGTCCTTATTTCATGTTTGAAGTATTTTTAAGTGATCGATTAACGAATTTGAGTGTCCTTCCACTTCCTACTTTCAATATAATCAAGGTCTAAATCTTAACTTAAATTTATAGTAAGGACCTAGTAACACGAAAATTCAAAGACACATAGCTATAATTAAAGATTGGCATTATCTTTAGTATCAAAAACGAAGAGTAAGTATAGATGAGTTGCAGTTATAAAATATATAAACACACATATGATTTACAGATTATGCCTGATGTAAGTCAAGATATTTCGTGAAAAGAAACCGCTGTTTACATCGTTAATTGCATCTTTGTTTGCCTCTATCTATTGGTTTTGACAAGTGATCACGATGCGCACAGCTAGAATGTGTCTTCTTATTTCTGATTTATCAATATTCTGTGAGAAAAACATAACAAGATATTGATGGGATTTCCGTCAGGGGGCCCTTGCTATACTTAAGTTTACGTTTTTCGTTTTTCAGTATTAGTAAAATGCATTAACGTTTCTGTTATTTGTTTTCTAAGACTTGTCGGTTAAGAGAACATAATCAAGAGATATCAATGTGGCACCGGGATATTAAAGGAGATGAAATAAAAAGTTTTCTTTAATCCATTTCTATTATAAGGAAATAGAGATAAGTAATATTTTTTGTTCTAATAAAATAGTATGAATACAAAACAAAAAGGAAAACTTCCTCCAAGTTGTTTAAAGAAAACAAAAAATATGTACATATTAATTTTGATCGAAAAATATTCATAAAACTGCAATTATTTGCGTAAAAATTTGTAATAACTTGTACAAAAAAGCTGCAACTCTCTAGGCATTGTTTGCCATCACGTGACCTTTAAACATGTCATGAAATGACCTTTACACTTGTCATCAAATGAGTTCAACACTTTATCACGGAATTAAGGATACAAAACAAATTAATGTACACACATATACATGTATTGTACACATATTGTAAAAGTAATATGGCTATTTTCCAACTTTATAGGCCTGTGCATTGTTTCATCCCGACATTCTTGAACATACCTGGATATGATACATGAATGAATCCAAAGTCCCTCCATATTAGTTAATAGAATTAAAATTGCAAAGGGGAGGGCAAGTGACTCGAGATCAGCAACCTTAAACATTTAGCCACGGGGGTCGCTTTCATAAAAGGAAACATTTAACCTCTGTTCATACTAAATTAAAGCACACATTTAAAACACATATGCCTTACATACCCGATCATTCTTCATTTGAATTGTCTTTTTTAGTTTTCAATATTTATAATTGTGGCAGATTTAAGTAGAATTTTATATGAAGACCGGTTTGCATTATATAATATTACTGGATAGTCGTAGATTTTAAACTCTCTTCGTCAAGTTTATTAATATGCTAGTTTTCCACTCTTTATTTTACTGTAGCGTGTATACTTAATTTCTTCTTATAATTGTATACTTATCTCTTGGAAAGGTTTTAATTAACTTAACTGTTATAAATCATATAATTTACTTAGAGATTGCGCGTTATTTTCTGGATAAGTATATTGTTTAATAAGTCTGTAATAATTGTATACTATAATATATATGAGAAAGCTGTTAAATTCATCACCATGTATTAATACAGATAACAAGTAAATTGCGGAACAAAAACACTACAATAACTGCACAATATTACACGTATGATTCTTCATTGGGGATTAACAAGACAATCTTTTTTCTCACAATGGAATGAAGAAAAAGAAAAAACAAACATAAAGAAGAAAAAAACAAAGCTACTACGTGAGTATACATTTATAATAAACCATTCGTATCAGTAATTATTTTTTGCAGGCAAGTACATCGTCCGATAAAAAAAATCTCAGTAGCTATTTGCTAGTAATTGTTTTGATATTTCGGCGAATGTAGACTATGCTTATTACAAACACAGACGTGGTGTTAGTGGAATTGCTGTAAATGCTATCTGTAATTACTGAACCTCGTTCTCATTCTTTTCCCTCATTTTCTCATGTACAAACAATTCTGCTAAATGTCAAGTAAATGCACAAACCATCATAAGTATTCAGAATAATGCGGGAAAAAAAGAAAAACTTTTCGGAGAAAGAAGTTTTTTCTGTTCCATTATTTCGGACACATTTGCACAGTTGGCATTTTTTGTATATATTGTAATGTACCGATACAAAACTGTGCCAAGGTTGCGTACATGCCTATAGAAACAAGAGGGCCATGATGACCCTGAGGTCGCTCACCTGTATATAGGCCCCCCAACCCCCCCCCCCCCCAACGTTGCAGAGCCAATTTAACCCAAAAGCTTTTATTTGCACAAACTTGGTAGACACCCATAAGAAGATGTTTCATGCTAAACATTTAAGCTCTAGCTCATTGGGCTTTTTAAAAGAAGATTTTTTTAAAGTTTTTACTATACACATATAGTTAAAAACAATGACACCCCTGGGGCAGGGCCAGTTTTGACCCCAGGGCTTTTATTTGAACAAACTTTGTAGACACTTACTAGAAGATGTTTCATGCTTAATATCTAAACTCTAGCTATTTGGGTTTTTTCAAAGAAGATTTAAAGTTTTTGCTAAACACATATAAAGAAAATCAATGACCCCCGGGGCGGGGCCAATTTTGACCCCTGGGCTTGTATTTGAACAAACTTGGTAGACACCTATTAGAACATGTTTGATGCTCAATATCTTAGCCATAGCTCTTTGAGTTCTTTAAAAGAAGATTTTTTAAGTTTTTACTATATGCATATAGGGAAAATCAATGACCCCCCGGGGCGGAGCCAATTTTCACCCCAGGGCTTTTATTTGAACAAACTTGGTAGACACACACTAGAAGATGTTTCATGCCAAATATCTAAGCTCTAGCTCTTTTGAGTTCTTTAAAAGAAGATTTTTTAAGTTTTTACTATATGCATATAGGGAAAAATCAATGACCCCCGGGCGGGGCCAATTTTCACCCTAGGGCTTTTATTTGAACAAACTTGGTAGACACCCATTAGAACATGTTTCATGCTAAATATCTTAGCTCTAGCTCTTTGGGTTCTTTAAAAGAAGATTTTTTAAGTTTTTACTATATGCATATAGGGAAAATCAATGACCCCCCGGGGCGGGGCCAATTTTGACCCCAGGGCTTTTATTTGAACAAACTTGGTAGACACTCACTAGAAGATGTTTCATGCCAAATATCTAAGCTCTAGCTCTTTGAGTTCTTTAAAAGAAGATTTTTTAAGTTTTTACTATATGCATATAGGGAAAATCAATGACCCCCGGGGCGGGGCCAATTTTGACCCCAGGGCTTTTATTTGAACAAACTTGGTAGACACTCACTAGAAGATGTTTCATGCCAAATATCTAAGCTCTAGCTCTTATGGTTTTTTAAAAGAAGATATTTAAAGTTTTTTCTTTCGGTTGCCATGGCAACCAGAGTTTTGCATGGAATTAAATTCTTTGAACAATTTTTAAAGGTGACCACCAAAGGAACACTCCTGTGAAGTTTGGATGAAATTGGCTTAGTGGTTTATGAGGAGATGTCGTTTAAAGTAAAAGTTTACGGACGGACGGACGGACGGACGGACGACGGACGGACGACGGACGGACGGACGCCGGACGAAAAGCGATCACAAAAGCTCATCCTGTCACTTTGTGACAGATGAGCTAAAAATATATATGGTTTGTTCTCTTAGAAGATAGTTTCACGCGTTGGACTAATAATCTTTAAGGATTGCTGGTGGCATGGGTTCAAACCCCCTCAGGGTCAAGTCGTTGTTTCCGTGAGCAAGAAACTTTACACTCATAGCTTAGCATGGTTTGTTCCAGGGACGGGTTCGGGAGGAGTGATTCAATAAGCTTATAGCTTCCGACACTCGAACAACTAAATATAAATAAACAATTCGAATATAAACGTAATGAGTTTTTTATAGACATTCTACCGTTGATCAGTGATTGTGATGCATGTATATATAAGACTTGTACTCTTTACACACAGTAGACAGTTGATTAATAATGTATAAAATATACAGGCGTACTCACCATGAGCCATTTCTTCTCTATATTTCTTCTCGACAAACTGAAAAAAAACAAAAAAATATATATATAAATATATATATCTCAAACCGACAAAGATAAAAATCATTAGCAGTCCTTTATATGATACTGATTCAAAGATCTGGGGGAAACACTTTGTCTGTCAGTCTGAAACCGCCCTTACATGCACCAGTCAGTACTTTGGTATAATATATTTTACAGGTGTACTTGCAGCTAGATTTCATCCTAGAAGAAATTGCCTATCTACAGGCCATCATGTTAAACGCAAACAAAAAATTGACACACGAATGCAAGCATGATTTTTTTCATATAATTTGATGACTTTTTGATGATAAGAGCGTTTCCACGAGAGATCTCTGGCAATCACGTTCCGTGTACGTTTTATACTGGCTGATTACAAGAGCTTTTGTTTATAGGTATCAAAGTGCAGTTTTCATACGTATAATATGAAATCTTCCAATCTTTCAGCGAAGTTGTAAACAATCTTTCCGTTTTAAAACAAACAATTTTACTAGCTGTTCAAATATTTCACTGACACTTCCATGCAAATATTGGGACAGAATCAACAAGCTTTCAAGATAATCTTTTCCTGTACAGCTCTATTTAAAATGATTTATAACATAGAAGATTCAGTACAAATAGCATTTAGATTAATGTTAAGAGTGTCATAACTTTATTAAAACTTATGATCCCTACTTAAACATAAAATAGACAAATATGCAGATAACGGTTGAGTGGAGTGTAATAAATAACCACCACAAACAAAACTTTTTCAAGATGCACGAAAAAAATTACTTTAATCTTAAAAGAAGTTTTCTCAACTTCCGATATGCTTTGAATGAAACATACGAGTTAACGCCCCTGTGAGATGGAAACACAGCAACGCTATTAGTACATGTCGGGAGATAAACATTTTGATTTATTGTATACCAGTTTTCAGGAATTAAATTTCCTGTTAAAATTAACTACCGGCAGAGATCCATCAATAACAAATCCTCTTTAATCCGAAATCAGACCGGAGTTCCATTAAAACATCTATCTGATATAGCGTTAGAGGGGAACACAATTCTACGGAAGCATGGAGAGGACATAGACGATTTATTTTAATAATCTGTGGGAACAACTTATTTGTCGAAATATTTTTTATTAATCTGTGGGAACAACATGTTTTGTGAGAAAAATCTTTTTTTATTCTGTGGGAACAACATATTTTGTGAGAAAAATCTTTTTTTTATTCTGTGGGAACAACTTAATTTGAGTAAAAAAAAAAATTATTCTGTGGGAACAACATATTTTGTGAGAAAAATCTTTTTTTTATTCTGTGGGAACAACATCTTTTGTGATAAAAATCTTTTTTTATTCTGTGGGAACAACATATTTTGTGAGAAAAATCTTTTTTTATTCTGTGGGAACAACTTAATTTGAGTAAAAAAAAAATTTATTCTGTGTGAACAACATATTTTGTGAGAAAATCTTTTTTTATTCTGTGGGAACAACATATTTTGTGAGAAAAATCTTTTTTTATTCTGTGGGAACAACATATTTTGTGAGAAAAATCTTTTTTTATTCTGTGGGAACAACTTAATTTGAGTAAAAAAAAAATTATTCTGTGGGAACAACTTATTTTTTAGAAAAATCTTTTTTTTTTACTCTGTGGGAACAAACTATTTTTCTGCGATATTTTTTCAATATCTTGTTCCCTCAAGATAATAAGTTGTGCGAACAAATTAATTATGTTGTCCCCACAACATAATTCAACCAATCAAAATAGCGATTGCCACAAAGAGTGAATGCAAAGTTAAGTCCCTTTTTAAAAAAGTCGCCATTTGCACACAATTGCAATAATGGCAGAAGAAAATGTTTAGAAAAACATCTCTATCCATTTTTTCTGACAACAAGATGCAAGAATTTGATTGGTTGAATTATGTTGTGGGAACAAACATAATTAATTTGTTCGCACAACTTATTATCTTGAGGGAACAAGATATTGAAAAAAAATATAGCAGAAAATAGTTTGTTCCCACAGAATAAAAAAAAAATTCTCACAAAATAAGTTGTTCCCACAGATTAAAAAAAGATTTTTCTCACAAATATGTTGTTCCCACAGAATAAAATAAGATTTTCTCACAAAATATGTTGTTCCCACAGAATAAAAAAAGATTTTTCTCACAAAATATGTTGTTCCCACAGAATAAAAAAAAATTTCTCACAAAACATGTTGTTCCCACAGATTAATAAAAAATACTTCGACAAATAAGTTGTTCCCACAGATTATTAAAATAAATCGACTATGTCCTCTCCATGCTTCCGTACAATTCCGTCGTAACTGATTGAATTATCTCAGAAATAGATGTTAACCTTATGTTTTTCTTCGGTGCACCCCGCCAGTTTTCGTTGTTCACAGCGCCAAGTTCGCAACAAGTTGACTGCGAGGAAACAAGATAGAACTTGTCAATTTAGGCCATCAATGTCATTGTTAATGTAAGTCTGCGAGATAACAGATAAGATGGGCCTTATTATTTGATATGAAATCATAATGATCCTGATTCTAATGTACATGCCGTCTTTGGTTTATCACAAACACCAAAACGCGTGGGAAGATAATTATAATATGATATAGCTGGTACCCGCATTCTTAATACTAGAACAATTCTATACGCATTCCGGCACGTGCTTCACAATCTCATGAAATCTGTCGCAACACTTGACGTAATTAATTGATCTCTCCTGAAACTATTACTTTGTTAACTTAGAATGTTTAAGATTTATTTTTCAACAAAGTTAATTGCGTTATAAAAGAACTATTATACCTAAGTGTGTAACAATTATGACAAAAAACGTCCAAGTGTGTTTGTCTTAATATCGCGCACTTCAAATACACTATAGAATCAAATGAACGAGTTTTTGATCGTTAAAGACATCAAACAAATTAAGGAATTCTTTTGGCCTTACACATTGTTTTATATGACTAGTAATTCCATTACCCTCCAACTTGATGTCCCTGGTTTATACGATAAACAGGTCATTGTTTAGACACATAATGAAATCAACAGGACAAGTTTTATCGGTAATTGACAACTCGGATCCTTTTTGATAATGGACTTCTGCCTCTATATCACGGCGGAGACATAATTGACAGTGATTAACAGACTGATGTTGACTATTAATCTAAATATAGAAGCTTGATTCTGCACAACGTCTGTACGACAACGATGGAGGCAAGTCACAATGGTTGAAAATAGACTTTCTTGCAAATATCACGAAATTAAAATAAGAAAAGAAAGGATATTTCTTTTTTTAAATAATTATAAAAGCCTTATATGGTCAGATTTCAGAAATTAATTTTCTTCTCAAAAATTCATTAAAAATCATTTAAAGATTCCTAAATCAAAACTATTTTTTACCTATTTTTCTTCTTGTAAGACACGCTCTGCTCTGACATTTTATACAATTAAAGAAAAAGAAAATTAATGGCCTCCATATTTGGTATGAAATATCAAGATACAAAATTCATTGAAATTGAACACAAGTGTTTGTTACGAGACCATTTTTCATTTAATTCTAAAATAGCGACAGTTAAGGATATTTAGTTCTTCATTTAATTGAGAACCGAACATAAAACCCGTCTAACGGATGCTACATATAACTACCATGCGCACGTGAAACTTGTGCTAGACAAGAAAACAACATAATATTTTACTTCAAATTGACACCGACTGATATTGGAGCACACAGGGGGTAGGTTTCAACTCGTAAAGTATATTTATTAATTTCTGTCATACATCGGAAGCTGGTGATGTCTGGAATGGAATCGAGTTTCTTGGATTATTAAAACTGAAGAAACATCGTATTTCTTGTTATATTAAAACAGGGGACATATCATCTCATAAACAGTCATTCTATGTGTCTCTATTACCGGATTTTCTTGAATAACAAAATGAATCTCATAAAAATAGCACAATGGAACAGAAAATTTATGCGATTAGTAAAACATAAATATTCAAGTATGAAAACAAATACGTATACAATGCGGAAAGGAGTGTGAATCTTGATATGAAACTATTAATTGAATTTAAGAAATGAATGTGATAAAATACTAAGAATATAACGAGACAAAAAAGAAAATAATTTAAAAAAGTTTAACCCATAAACAATGTACAAACTATATTAGAAGTGAATTGAAAAACATAAGGAAGTAAAACAATAGCAAAGAAGCAAACATGTTGATGTGATGTAGCTAGTTTCATCTTGGAAGATAATTTTGCGTAGCAAATCTAATGTGAACTAACGAGTGAATAAGAACAAACAGAAGCATTTAAGAACTTTACGGCAGCGGTGTCCTGATGGTGTCTGCCTCTCTCACGTGCTCGATAACTGGTTAGTTGAATGAAGCAAACTCAAGTGTGGATTACAGAATTTCTGTACAATCAAGCTTTATTTGAAAACATTTAAACTTACTGGACAATGCATCGTATGACAACAAGTAATGGATGCAGACGATATGTACGAGTAAAACTATGAACACAAACTTAATGATATACACGACAAAAAAAAACGAATGTACAAAAACTTACTAGATGGGTACATACTCTTTGATCATAGTTTACAAAATTTTGCTCAATACTATTTTAGCAGTATTGAATTCATTTGTCTATTCTAATAACAAAGTGTTTGAAAATTATATTTTGTCCAATGAGATTGCTGTATTTAAAATAAATTGTAACTCAATTACTTTAGCTAATCGGCTTCGTAAATCGACATTAAATTGCGTTAAATAACCGATATTTGTATGAATTATGTCATTAAATGTTATAATCACAAAAAAGAAATGTCCTGATATTAAAATGTATAATAATGTTAAGTTGAAGAAGGTGATAAGACATCGACGTTTACAATGACATTTTATCCGATTACATATTAATGCTTTTAAGTGTCTCTTTTAGAATAACTGATGTATTATGATTTGACAGCGGAACTTCCGCTAATCACTTTAGTCACGTAAGTCATGTTGTTTAATACGTT